AAAACTTTATCCCAAGTTCCCAACTTTCGTGCCATAAAAATGATTAAAATAATTTTACAACATTCTATATTTCTTTTTGATAATTTTGATATACTAAAATTTATAAATTATTTTTTTATTAAATAATTTGTCCTGAAGTACTTAGTAACACTATTGACGAGAATAATGTTACATTAGCAAGAATTAATGCACTTTAGCCACTATTCCTATTCAAATTATGGTTGCATGCAACGGATAATGGTTAATTGAACAGGTAATCGGATGGTTACAAGGTTTAAAGAATATTATTAGTTTAAATTATATATATATATATATATATCTGTGTGTGTGTGTTAAAAACCTCTGCGCTAACTCAGCATTCTATTTCCATCCCGTAGCATCTCCTACGTCGAACAGGGAGCTGTGAACAAAGCTAAGGATGAAGGGAAGAAGACAAGAAGGAAAGAGGAAAGCTTGATTTTCAAGTAAAACACCTTAATTTTCCTAACTTCTTCCACAAATGAGGGAGGGGTGATGATTTTGAAGTAAAAATATTCTCGTGATATTATTTATTTAATTTTGAGTTGTTGCTTTAAATTGAAGAAATTAGTATATTTAATGGGTTGTATAGGAAATATCAAGATTTCAAAGCAATGAAAGTACGAAAATGCATTCTGAGTTGGATCCATTTTGGTGATGAGATGTTCATGTTGACCTCATTTTTTGTGAGGTCTAGTCTTCCTCTTAGGGTTTAGGATCTATCCTTAGGGATCTCCCTTTGACTATCTTAGAACCTTAGAAATGGGACCCGCCTCGTTTTAGAAATTCAACTCACTTCTGTACCCTTTTGGAGTTTCGCATGTGTGGCACTTAGAAGGGTGAAACCAACATGAGGAAACCTAAAAGAAATTCATATAGGACCTTTTGAGCCTTAAGATGGCCTTCTGCACAATTCGCACTCCCGCACGCACAAATCTTACAATTCGGAGAATCGAGACGTCTGATCGCCACAAGTGACAACGCTTGCACTGTTACATGTTGAAGACTCAAATAAACCTTTTGAAACGATCGATCACGGGTCGAAATTTTGTGAAATTTGAATTTTGACGCGTTTTTGGTCCGATTGTCGACGGCGTCGTCCGAGCGACCCCGGATGACAAAACGGACTGCGTCGGCACGTCCGGAACGTCGATTTTGCCTAGGGAGGGCACCCATTTTGTTACGTTGCCGCGCGTGAACAAATCACGTATTATTTAATATATATATATATATATATATATATTAAATTGATATAAACCAAATTGTTTCTTTCCTTAAAGCCCAAAACCTAAATCCCTAAACCACACGGCCCGAGCCTTCCTTCACGTTCGCGAGGCCGGCCCGAGCTTCCTTCCTCGTTCACGAGACCGACCGGGTAACCCTCCTCGCGAAGCTTCGGCCGAGGTCCCCTCCTCGTACGCCTGCTGCCCTGCGAAAGGCTTCCACGCCGTGCCACGCGAACTGCTCCCCTGCAACCGAGCTTCGTCATCTCCTCACGCGAGGTTTGTCGCTTCCCTTGGCTCGGCTCACCGCCCAGGTAGGTGACGGGAAATGCATCTCCTCTTCCCTTGCTATATAAACCTCACTTCGGGGAGTTCTAGGGTTAGCCGAATTCTGTTTTGAGCGGGGGAGGTGCTGCCATTTTTGTGTCTCGTTCCTTCATTCTGTGTGTGTATTTGAGGCACTGCGAAGGCTTTGTCTTCT